ACGCATGAATAATTGTCTCCAAAGTTTGTGGGCCGAGCATCATATGATGAAAATTGATAGGTGTGAAGTTCCAATTGAAATGTATGAGCACGTGCAACAGCTCAATCTTTTGGTGCAGAGGAAGACCCGACCACTTCAAACGAGCACATTTTTTGTTCACGTCCGGAGGGGGAAAAGATCCGTTGCAGTGTAATTAATGTGCGGCCTCCACATTGTTAAAGAATTTGACAAACATCCTGTCGGATACGCGGCGCGTTGGTGTAGTGTGCGCGTGCATTAATGAGTCAACGATGCGCCGCCATACGTGCCAATGATATCTGATGGCGAGCGTGTACTTTTGGCAGTGACATGCACATTAGTCAGGTTACAAAAATGACACTCGTTGGTTTCACATGACTTTTACCCATAGGCCCATAGCAAATTTCATACCGTATGTCCTGTCACTTTTTTTTAGCAGTTTTCTAAGGTTGTTCTTCCATTATTGTAAGAGTTGTGTTCAAAATAGTTATATTTCACGCAGCCCTTTAAAACCTGAACTTTAGACAATGTTTAGCCAATAATACAGGTTTAAAGGGTTCATGAAATGAATTTTTTTGAGGAACATTATTTTGTGCAACTTTCTAATCCTCTTAAATGTATGAAAACTATTTGACATCCCTTGTTGGTTTGATTTTATTGAAAAGTGCACTTCTTTAATTCAAAATTTCCATTCATTTTCCGACAACTGAGGGCGCTGTTGCTGTGATGTAATTTCAGAAAGACACTGTTCAGTTTTGGGGTTTTCTGTTCATATTAAGAACCCGAACATTTGCACAATGAAAGCATTTGTGAGAAAAGTTTGCTCATAGCTCACTGCCATATGTACTGACACAACAATGAATCATCAAAGAAAAGAAAATGCAGGACAGCAAAATATCCGAAACTTCTGACGACTTTTTTTGTGCTGAAATAGATGCGGTTTGTGCCTGAAATGACATCACACTTTTGCTCCTGAATATGAAAGTTAGCATTCTCACAAAAACCAAAAAGGGGCAAAAAAACCTTTGAAAATGGCGAAACGAATATTGAAAATAAGGTTAAATGAGATACAAAGTTGCATTTTCAAGGACTGCATTTAAAAAAAAATACATTGCATGGGCCCTTTAAAGCAGACGTATGTCGTTTGGGGCTAGAACATAACTCTCTTCCAAACTAATAACGTCCAAGGACGATACTGTTAACGAGGACGGAATAGAATCTTTGCGCATGTAGGCCTATACTGCGTTTACAGTTTCGCATTACGGTTTTCAACCTCGTGCACGCACCCATACCATGAAAACTAATAACGTCCACGGACGACACTGTTAACGAGGAGGGAATCTAATCTCCACGCATGTATACTGCGATTACAGTTTCGATAAATAAGTTCAACCTCGTGCCCCGCTGCACACATCGTCCTCCTACGTGATACAATTACAGCCGTAGTGGTCGCGTAAACCGGCTGTTCAAACATCTTGGGCCGCGGAGACAGAATCTCCTCGAATCATTCCATTTTTAGACATTATAAGGCACAGTTTTACGATTATATAGAAACAAATATAGCTCGTTGTCCTCCTCTACCTAGTAGGGAATGTCATCAGGCCTTTCACGGTTGGGTTGAAAAAGAGTCCTGGCAAGCTTCGGCCCCTTGTATGAATTCTAATGGATTAGCTTAACAAGGTACAGAGTGTAGATGTAAAACAGTCGTGTTTTGAGTTAAACTCGATTTACATTCGGCGCCTGTCTGCAAGGAGGTAAAGCAAAACGTTTACGTAAAAATAAAGCCTAAATATGCCGACGTAAGAAACGCACAGTGAAACGTAAGCAGGACCCAAACTGCATCGTCATATGGAAACATTTTCATCCGGAAGTGTCGCCGACAACTCTCGGCAAAGTTATACCCAGTTCAACTCTGCCGACGGTTCCGCGTCACTATCTGCGCAGTATGTGTAATCTGCGTAAGCTCTACGTTAATATGAAAACCATGAAGGTATTCAGAAACTCAGAGAGCAACGCAAACAGGACCCAAACTGTAACGCAGACATGGAAACATTTCATCCGGAAATGTCACCGTCAACACAGACAGACGCAAACTATCTCGCAGATGACCGGCAAAGTTGAACCCGGTTCAACTCTGCCGATCTATAGCTCAATCGTACGGCGTTTAAGCTCAACAGTTACGTTTTTCAAAGCAGAATTTTGGCGTTGAATGCACCACTTGGTATTTCAGTATCAATAAAATATCAAGGCTTGTACGGTCGGATTAGGTATGACGAATCTAGTGTGTATATCAGAGTCTTATGAACATCTGCTTTCTTTTGACATGAAGTTTCAAATGAGACGGCACCTGCACTGCCGAGATGGCAATATTTGGCGATCATTTGCAAACCATACGTTCAATGTGTGCTTTCCTTATAGGAGTGGCACGGTACATTTGTACAATAGGTTCACATTGGCGTCGACCCGTCTGAAGAAAAGCAAACGGAACATGAGACAGCGCTATATAAGCCTAAAACCACGACATGGATTTGTCATGTTTGCCAAAAGCTGGCGTGGAAAACCTGACGACATGAAACGAAATACTACAGCCGATCTTAGCCGAAGGCAACCTTAGTCCCATAAAACAATGCGAAATACAGTACCTCGATAATTAGTTACATATAATGTTACAGTCTTCCTATATAGGAAGATAACTCTTCGTCAAAAAAACATCTTTTATTTCGAATCCCCATAATGTTTTCCTTGAGTTTACATTACTTTGAACACATTCCGAAAGGAAAAAAAAAAACTATGGGCGAACATTGTGAAGCATTCAGCTTATGATTAGAGTAATATGTGCATGCAGTAAAACGCCGCTATAACGAACCCCGTTATAACGATTATTTGTTATAACGAACATCCCCTTTGGCATCCAAAATTATTAAATTCTATTATAATGCACGATCACTATCGACCAACCACTACAACGAACATTTTTTTATGGGCTCCATCATGTTCGTCAGTTATAGTGGTGTTCTACTAAAAAGGGGAATATGTGGAAAAGCAAACAAAGGAATTACGAGACCTGAACTGATGAATTTAGCATCAGTTAAACAATATAACCTGACGGACTAAAACGCGTGTATCTTACAGTACATGTCACTATGAACACCACCCTAAGTGTCAGATGAGGTCCAGCCCCACACCCCTCCCCGCCCAAATCCACCCCTAATTCCCTTTGGGGTTTTTTGTCCACCCCCCCCCCCCCCCAATGATCCCTCAGGATCCCTAAAGTTAAACTCTTGGTTCGCTACTGATTCTTACATGGCAAAGAGTATCGTGAAACTTGGTTTTATGTTTTACGTCAAGGTGTCTCTTGATTAAAACTCGACTCATACATGGAATCGTCGCTCTCACTAGATTGCCGTTAATGAGCGATCCGCCAGCGATCTTCCGTTTAAACAGAGCCGTACGGAAATAATCATCTGTTGGCGATCGTTATGGGATGTCTGAAGTCACGACGTGCCAGCTGCGCCATTATGTGGATTATTATAAGCTGTCACTACGATGTCAATTCTGTATTATACGACGACATATTCTCGCGAGAAAATAACTTAATATGTTTCCTCTAAATTTGGAATCAAAAATAAACTACAAGGAAACCGACTATATATAGGTGCACATATTATGAGCGCGAACAAAGACAATGACTGCTTGCAGCACGATTTGAACCTCCGACCTCCAGATTATCGTCCCGAAGCTCTACTCACTGTTGGTACTAGAGCGCCAGTGCGATATAAATGGAGGTCGCGGGTTCAAATCCCGCTATATCAACAACTTCTTCCTGCAACTTCAGAATGAAATGGGAACAGTGAGACAAAATAGAGGTTGGCGTCATATTCAAAATATTTTCACGAACAGAAATGATTCAACTTGCAACGGCGTTCTAATCCTTTTCCGTTTAAAGTCGTTTTTAGAACTCACACAGGACATAAAAGCCTGTCATAAAAATACACCTGTCGGCTTAATCTTTTATCTCATAACTAAATTCAGCTTGTTGTGTTTCATGTGTGTGCGCCCTAGCGTTGTCGAGTGCATTTCGGTTTGTTTGGTATTAAGGAGTATTGCGATCGTTCACCGTCGAGCACTTTCAATAACTTTGCCTTTGAGAAAGCTAGGATCAAAGCATAACTCCCACTAATGTTCTTTCATTTTTGACTTTTAATAACCGAGGGAAAATCAAGCTATATATAGGGCTATACCTGGTCTGTGCCCGACGTTTTATCATAACCTTATAAAATCGGAGCACACGCTCGCAAATCCGAAAGTCGAAAGCCCTGAAGCTCCCTGCGCCATTGGAAACGTATTTAGTGAGAAGTGATGTTATCTGTCATGATGATATTAATAATACCGGAGTCTTATATAGCGCACTATCTACCAACAATCAGGTACTCAAGACGCTGGTAATTATGTCAATTTTTAAATACAATGATGAAGATGATGAACACGAGGAAGATCTGAATTACAGGGAGCAATATGGACTTCCTAATTTCATATTTCTTTGGATAAAATATACATTAGAACTAAGTTTTTTAGGAGACACGTTGATAGTTGATAGAATTTAGAATCAAAATGTTTTCATGTGCAATGTTGTTAATATCCAATTCTGCATTTGCATTTATGTCTTTCCTTTTCGCATTACATTTCATTTATCAACTATAATTATTGTCAATATAATTATTTGGTTTGCATTTATATTAATTACTTGATATCAAACAGATATTAAAAGAGATAATGCAAAATATATGTAAAATACAAATTCAAAATTGGATATAAAAAAATTATATTGGATAAAACACAAGATAGCTTCTTTTTATCATGGATCTACTGTACAAAACAGAAAAATTAACAGAGCCTTCAATAACGCCTTTCCTTCACAAAATAACTGTGATTTAGAAATCAGATATTCTACATTTTAGAAATATAGGAAATTTAAAACTCACCTTGTCAGCGCTCGACGATCGATATAAGTCGGCTTTATTCAGCCGACTATGAAACCGCTCGGATGATGTGCAAGGCAGTACAATGCTGCCTACCCTCCCAGCGCAGCACGGCAATATAACTCACGCAATTATGCACCCGGAGTATTTCCCCTGAAAGGCGAAGAAGAAGAAATTGTACAGACGCTGATGAAGAGAGGCTCGCACCTTGTGGCAATGGGATGTGAAGAATAAGGGGGGGAAATTAAATTCCTACCGAGAGAGTTTTTTTTTTCTCGGTAGGGAGCACTTGTGAAGCGGGGGAGAGAGCACCGTGAGGATTTCCTCTCTCGCACCGCGTTGTAAGCTGCTTTTGCGGTAAGCTCGCTTCGTTTGAGACGATGGTCGAGCCTACTGTGGTCGGGCTGAGCAAAGCTGCGCTGCAGTGCTAGCTGTGCATGCGCCCCCGCACAGCGTGCCTGCATGGGCCTGCCTTTGCGTTGCACTGTTTCGCTGGTAACCCGCATCCTCACTGATTGTGTTTACACAGCTGGCAATGATGTACACCATGGGGGTGGGAGGGGGCTGAACATGATTCTCCATCGGTATATTGGCTACTCTTGAAATGCAAGTAATTACCGTTTGAATTCCTAAGGTTCCCCTGGCCTGCCAGTGCCAGCATTTCATAATAATAATTTGCCAAAGAACTTTACATCTAAAACCATAGCAGATTTTCTACTTGAACACAAATTACAGAGACCTTTAAAATAATCTTGGAGGGTATACGAGCACAGATGAGTATTTATTACCAAGAATTATTTTGATCAAGAATCTTAATGCGGTATGTAAGAATTCTTACAATATAGTTATTACCAAGAAGAATTTTAATTTGATGAGCATGCATTAAAGCTTGTACAAGACATATGCGATATAAATATAGTAATGAATACTACATTATCCATCTATGGCTTTCCTTCAGAGAAAGGGCATCAAAAAGGTGTCTAGCTTTAGTCAATATGGAATATACTGAGTGATTTAAAAAGCCATATTCGGGTTAGAGGTGCGCCACTATAGAAATGGAATAATTATTATTATGATCTCTCCCAGTCTTCACAATAAAGCCCCAGGCGATCTCTGTTCTCAGTGCAGTACGGGTCAGTTCCCTGTACGTGCGTTCTACCACGGCGAGTGGTTTGCTTTCTACCGTAGACGTGCTCCTCTTCTGATGAACGAGCGGACGGGCGTTTTGGTTTTTCAACGAGTAGTACGTGCAAGAAATCGCAAGCGTTCCATTAAAACGCTGAAGAGACGGGTAGAGACACTGTGAAAGCGCTCTTTGTGTTAATTTAGCAATTTTGTTCAGGATATAATATTACTGGGAAAGGATAATAACAATGGAAGATAGCAAATTCTCATTTTCTGAATTGAACAGTACCTCAATTCAGAAAATGAGAATTTGCTATCTTTAAGGTACGATAGCAAGTGTTACCTAAAATAATTTCAAATGCCCAATGATGATAAATTAACGGGATTGTTTGCATTTAAATATCGACCATTGATAAAATTTGAAACTCCAATTCAGTGCAGCAACTACGCATTTGTCAAATTAATTTTGAAAAAAGTGTATTTCGTCTCCAAACAATCAGCACCCAAAGCTACGACCATTATATCTTTGCGTCTGCGTCTATGAAGTAATTACATTATTCCTAGGGGGAAAAAAACGCCGGTGTATTGATGAAAAAAAAAACACATTGCTGCTGAATATGTTGGAAAAATAATTCTGCCATTTTGCAGCCCCGGGTACCGCAAAATTATATACAAACGACCGGAGTTAATGGCTTTGCGATTGGCAACGGGCGAGACACGAGAGAGCATCATCAAGTGGTGTCGACCGTAGGTCAAGATGAAGATCGTGTTTTATGCAAAGTAGGTGTTAGGTGACACCTGAACCCTAGACTTACCAAAGATATCAGTCCGTGGTTTGTTTGTTTAATCTGTCGGAGGTTCCAGAACAGCCGCATTGGTATCAGATTTGCTAAGCACGGATTAATTCTGCTTACCTACAACTGGTTTTCAGTAGGACGTCGCAACTTGTTTTAATCAGTATCTGCTTAGAAATATCGGAAGAGGAAGAGGCCTACTGAGCCTTCAGTAAGTCTGTGAATTCGATTGTCTTCAGAGACTGGGAGCCCCTCTACTGCATGCCCAGGGGCTAAGATTGCATTGCACTGCTTAGCTCAAAATCTTGTTTACAGCTAAAAAACAAGCTTTCTAAAATTTAGGTTTTAGCACCAGCCAAAGTTTTCTGTTACGTGAATTGCTTGATAATGATCGATTTTTAGTCAAATTTTATTGGATAACTCTGTTTTGCGTCGTTTAACAACAGAATAGATGATCAAAAATCCGAACCTTGCTTACCACGTAATGAATTAGCTTTTTAATATTATGTGCATTCACTAACCTATCATTACGTGAATCGCTTAACAATAGTTTTCATCCTAATATAAAACTGCCCGCAATTCTGCATGTAGGTTATAGCAAATAGGTCCCTGGATTGAATAATCCAGGCCAATGCAGCAAATATTATGCAGGTTTTGTGGTTTCCACAATATGATTACAGCGTGTGTGCTCGTACAAGCCATTACGGAGTGAGAACCTGGCCTTATATTAGATTACACTGGTTACTAGGCTGAGGCGTCTGTAAGACATCTGTATCAATAGACGGGAACGGTACTCCTGTCCGGAAACCGGACAATGTGGCCCTGTCATCGAGGCGGGCACTTGACACACGTTTGTCACTGTAATATATTATTTTACAAGTGTAGATATCAGATACCTAATTTCAGCACACAAATCTTGTGAGATAAATCCACGCAACATTTGTTTTTTTCACTTAACGACAAAATAATGTCTCGCTATAATACTGTTCGTTGGATACAGACTCGCGTTTTTAAGAGGTATGATTCTGTGACATTTTTCTTTCTTTTAGTTGTTAGATTGCACATATTAAATCGGAAATTAGACCCCTTTTTTTTTTATTCGATTTGTTTGGCCGGGGGAAGGGGTGTGGTGGGTGTTGCATGATTTAATGAGAATAAGGAGGTTTTAGTACATAATGGCAATGTATCCAGGGAAATCGTTACTCGTTCAAAGAAAAATAAAGACAAAGAGTGCAGGTTTATGGTTTTGGACCTAAGATTATCTGAACTTTGTCTGGTTTTCTCTCAAGATCGTTCTCAACAAAGACCTCAGTATGCTTAACGCTGCACAGAAATTTGAAAACGCATTTGGAGTGTGGATGACAAATATTATTGAAGTCATTTCAATTAACAACTCATGTTGCATTGGTCACTTTTTTATGCCCATGCATTAATTTCATATCGAAGTAATCAAAGCTCTTCTCCATTAATTTTGAGGCGTCATGTTGTTGACCCTCTTAGCGCCCTCTAGCGTTACCAAATTAGCTGCTCTCAAAGTCGGTCAGGTTCAGTCGTCCTGTTCGCCATAATATAAAATTTTTTCACCTGATCAGCTATGCATGAGATTTTCTGATAGGACGGAGGGGGCGGCAATCATCCGACCATAAGACATTAATCTCGCCCGCAAGGATGACACCTTTCGTAACTGTGCATCCTGAGAATTCGCTGAAGTGACAGGAGATTCCATTGACATTTCCAACTTGCTAAGATTGCAAGCAAATTACCTCCCCAAAGTGATTGGAAATGCCCCGGGATTTTTTTTTCCGCGTCTCGGGTAAATCTGTTTTATTTAGTAATGAATGTTATCTATATACGGAATGTTTTGTATTAAAAAATATGTCAAGCCGTATCAGGACCGAATAAGAGAAATCCCTTTTCTGTATCCATTCAATGCATGATTTGTCTGAGGATAAGCGAACTTTAACATGTCCTTTGGCGCTTCGACTTTAGCTTCTTACAGAGGACTTGTAAGTCTTAATGTCGGATTGCTTTCTCGTGTTTGTTTTTCATGACAATGCTGATAAAAAATATCTGTATATTTAGTGAAGTTTAAGGTTCAAATCATTAAATAGAAGCCATTCATATCTGGGTCATTCTATAAACCGAGGGTTCAAAGTGTGATATCCCCCCCCCCCCCGCGCTACTTTGGTACTTTGTAACATGCCATTCAAGCATAATTATCAACCCTAACCCCTAGGCATTTGTGCTAGGATGTAACCTCAATCCTGCAAAATCCCCCAACTTCCTCTATGCAGCATATAGCCTCAATCCCGCAAAATCCTCCATTATTTCTTGAATGTGGTCCTTGGAGGGGTGACCACTGCCTCAATGCTGCAAAATCATCCGGCAATCACTGTCAATAAATTATGTTGAGGCACAGCCAGTGAAATCCCGGAGCAGTGCGGAGGATTTAAAGTATAATCTAGGCCTATATTTATGCACGGTTGAGCATAAACAACACATGGTCTCGGCCGGCCCAAGACCTTGACACAGTGCATCCTCCGAAATCAGCCACACAGTTTTGCCGTGTATAGCTTCAATCCTGCAAAATCCTCCATTTTGCAAAGAGGATTTTGCAGGATTTATTGGTTAGGTATATTCATCATGCATGAAGGTGTGCATGCGAATTATAAATCACAGTTAGATGTGACACGGACATGCAAAGGGGACCCCAAATTTGACAGAATGACCAATCATTCTGTCCAGTGTCCACGGTCATTACCAATAATTACGCGTTCTATCACCATCAGTTTAAATATAAAAAAACACAGTTCAGCAAGCACTATTTCAAACAATTCACCTCATTAAAAGACCCAGGAAACTCATTCAAAAGACGGTAGGTAGCCTTGGCCTCCTTCGGCGCTATTCATTTCAACACAACAGAGAAGAATTTGACGCTTTGTTGGTCAGGATTTCATCGAAGGCGGCCAATATTATTTTGTCATTGTTTGCGTGCCGTTGCCATGGATACGCTGCACTCGGTCGTCCGCAAGTAATTACTGCCGAATGCGTTTAGAGTCGTGATCATTTTGTCTCTTTTTTTTTTCTTTTTGTCCTCAGGAGGAACGAAATGTGAAAAATAGTTTGGCTGGTTGGAATGAACAATTGGGAAATTACTGAAAATGTCATCCTAAAAATGTCATTGCTGAAAATGTTAGGCAGGCCAACAGGAGTTTTCTGGAAAGTGGGACGTTGATGCTGCTAAGTTGACGCGAAAGCTACCTCTCTGACAAAAGAGGGCGCCACCTATCAATAACGAAGGCATTTCTGTCAGTATAATTTTTGTACGATTTAACCCGAGATGAAAAGAAAGAGGGCGCGCTATACTGACGATGTTGTGTTGCACGCAGTATTATTGCAACGAAGGAACTTCACTTTTTCTATATAATTGTAATTTTGTGTCTGACATTTTTACGTATACAGTTTATGATCCAATGTTGGTTACCATGGACAGTACATTCCCTACTTGCAAAGATACAAAACCTTTGATTCGTTTATTAACGGTTTTAGTAAATGAAATCATGGAATGTGTAACAGCTTTGAATTTCCATAGTACCACGCAGCACAACAAGACACAATAAAATATCAAAATCGAACATAAACAAAAAATCGAAATCATATTGAAAACACAAAAGACGAGCTTATTGTCAAACGAGCAACTTCACATACAATTTATTGAATGATTCGAAATGAAAGTAAAAGAAGTAGAAGAGCCATCTTTCAATAATGACAATATGCTCATACAGTTTCTCTGAAGGCAGAATGCACAATAGGAAAAAGGGAAAATAAAGAAATCTTTCGGCAGGCAATCAATATAATGCAAGAGATGCATCTTGGGGCGAAAATTGATTTGTAAGTCAATGTCTTGTTTTTAAAGGAAAAAGGGGGCAAATGTCTGACTGTTCTAATGTTTGGGCGCCCTCTGTGCAATATCTTCACGTTGCTATATGTAGCGCCACCGGCATATTCGTAAGTGCACGATTCGTGATATGTTTCTTTATAATAATACCGGATCACAGTGCTTTTTCATTAACTACGATTGGACCTGTTAGTTTTAACAATAATGTAATGGTGTACACATCGGTGCAGCAAATTGGACCTGTATTAGACACGTTCTTGTGATGTCTTGCAGGTCATACCACCAAATTTAGCTTCGCGGTATTATTTAAGGCTTTAAAGGCAACTTTCTTTTGTTGAATCACAAATTAAAAAAGTACATACTATCAGAGACAATCACTACCTGGGGAGGACTTTAAGTACAAAAATACACAGCAGTAACAAAAGAGGGTTCGCTCCACGGAACACACACCTCATCCCGTGACAGCATCTTTAATTTCAAGACATGGGCAAAGTAGAACGACCCTGTAGCTGAAGAAGGGATAGAACTACGACTTTGCTAAGTCCGCATCCTCGGTCAACAGACAAGTGTCAATAAGGAAGAGAAAAAAAAACATCTCAAAAAGTTCTAAGCGATTAATCTATCTCCGGTGGATTGGAGGGCCGGTAATCGTCAGTAATCTCAGGCAAGGTGCAGGGATCATAATTCACGGGGGGGGGGTGTTGCAGGCTGCTGACGTGAGAACGGCAGATTGAAATGTAATCCCATTAGCCCGGGGTGGATGAGCCGTGACATCTGCGTGTTGCGCGGTAATCGAGCGAGGGAAAACATTCGCGGTAATTAGCTGTGGTCTGCGAGCGAGCACGCGCGAGTGTTGGACGCGGTTGCAAAAACAAAAATACTTGGGAAGTTTGTGCCTTAGACGAGTCACGCTCTGTGTTTAAATAGCTTGGTAAACATTAATCCTTTCCGTTAGTGCATTACAGAGATGACGTTTTTTCCCCGTTTTTATATCAGATCTAATCACTTTGTGTCTTAAAAGGTGCAAATGAAGTTTCACATGAATGATCCGAACAGCAACATCGTGTGCTGAATAGCTGCATAAATCCAATGCTTTAAGGCCTGGGGCCGTTAACATACAAAATGATTGTGTATTTTCTCAAAGAAGTGTTGAACAATTTACATGGACCAATCATAATTTTGCATAGTTGAGTTAAAAAAAAAAGTAAAACAAAATTACCGACACGCTTTGACAGTTTGAACTTTAAACGACGCCAAATGGACGTTGCTGGGCACTCACAGCCTCGTTGTCGTCCAACATGGCGGTTCCATGTAGAGGCTTAATGACATTCAGCGATCATGTCTTACTTGTGCCTATCTGTCTTGATATCGTCTATACATGTGAGCTGCTTTCAATTTTACCAAAAACAACTTGTAAGAATCTTTCACGGTTAATTGTACACTTTTCGTGACGCACAAAGTGTCTTGTCGCCCAAGGCTGCTTGTGACGTTAGTCGAGTATCCGTTTACAAATAAGAGGTTCTTTTTCTGCGATACACTTCAAAAAAAGCACGAGGCAATTTGGTCAAATAAGTTGCAACAGTCTCTGCAAGGCTTTTAGCTTATTGTCCGGAAATATACGCGCTCGGCTAAACGCACCTGCGACAGATTAAACGGGAATTCTGATAATGCCTTAAACCGTGAGCTGTGAACTGTGATATTTCTGTGGAAAGGCACTAAAAGCCATCAAAACAAGATATAAAACTCTGCAGCACAGTCATAAGAAGTTATCAGCTTATAAGACGCACCGGTCTTCGGGTAAATCTGGTTGCGGTCGCGGATTATCGCTTTGACATTGGAAAAAGACATTGAGGCATTTAAAATATATATCCCTGTTTACCTTTTTACATATTTTCTCGGCAATAGCATTGATCGTAGCCAGCTGGAACACCCTGCCAACTGCATTGTGACTAATCTGCAATGGACGTATTGCAACGTACAAGAAAACAGTCTCCGAGTTAAATCTCTATCATAAAACTGATCTAAGATTGTATGACATTGCAGAACGCATTCACCGAAAAGTAAAAATGTCGACGACTGTTGCCTGTGTTAATGCTCATTAGATTAACTAAATAAATTAATACACTTATGTGTTTCAGTTGATCATAATTGTAGTGGACAACGCATGCTAGACATTCAGTGACGGCGTCGTTACTACTGAGCTTGGAAGCCACGCTCATTAAACAGTACATCTGAGCTATAAAGCGCCACACAGGCCTATATGGTAAATTAGTGCATCAAAATTTTTAATATATACCAAACCGAAGGGCAAAGTAAAATTTTAATAGAAAATATACAACCATTCAGAAACACGCTAATCTCTTAGATAAATAAACATATGTCATCAGTTTTGGCCTTAACATACGGTTTTGCCCTTTAATATCTTTGCTTGCCCTTCAAGATATTTTTGTGTTATTAAATATTTATAAGGCATAATTTGTCATATATCGCACCTCATACTTTATACTAGAAGGCAGCTCACTTTTTATGCATGAAGACAAATAAGAAGGTAGATCACCTCATCCCCAGGGTTCTACACCTGAACTTTACGTGCCAGTACTTAGATAATGACACCTGGGGCAGGATGTAATATAGATGTGAGAACGTGGTGATGCGGTCAGGAGCCAGCCAAGGGCATAAATAAATGTGATTCGTTAAACGTCTGTTATTGGTCTTTCGCGACCGTACGATCGTGTTGGGATGACTGGAATGCTTCGCATAGCAACCGGACAGCGCCTGGCGTATTCGTGTCGTGACTTCGCATTGGACGATCAGATTCGTGGCCGGGCTCTCCGCAAGCAGTCTGCCCATTGGTAGATACGAACAAATGGCGAACATGTCAGATCTGGAGTAAGACTACGTACGTGTGGTGTTTATGAGAGACTGCCAGTAAATCACAGCGTGATGGACTAGCCGCAGGAAATAAGACCGGACCAAGATGAGATGGTGTGGAAACTAAAGGAGCCTCATTAATGAACTCGAGTGAAACGAGCAAAATGCATGCAACGACAACGTGTAACCCTTGCTACCGCGTGTCTAGATCATAGAATCAGAACGCGGGAAAGCAGATTTGGCGGGAGAGCACGTTTGGCGGGAAAGAATTAAGGCAGCGTGCGAGAAGACATCGCCATTGATAACACATTGATACAAGAAGCCATGCAGACATAGAGCTCATCTACGTGAGTACAAAAGACAAATAGGTCTAGCCTACTTCTTTCATATATAATATAAAGTTGCATGGGTCCTGCGCATGCGCAGTATCCCTTTTCTTGTATCAGTAGCGCCCTCTATTGGTTTAAGTGTACTAACTGCAGGCTTGAAGCAACTTGCAATATATAACCGTGAAAACACAATGATGTATTACGTGCACTTTACGCATTCTGCTTCAGCAGCGGTCCGACTGCCAACATATTGTGATATACCAGACATACAATATATTCAATTTAATTGGCAAGAAATTAAATTACATGGTGAATTTACGTGCTGTCCTTGTCATAATGATTATGCATGCACACAAACCCTTTGAAAGAATGCCTACAAGTACATAGATTATTGCATGCACATATTGCACACAATGAACTGTAGAAATTATGAAAATAGCATGTCGCTCAGTAGCAAACAAATTTGATAGTCCCGAGTACTTCATTGTGTACGAAGGATGCTGAATAAAAACATGTGGGGAATATTCATCCGTTGCCAGGGCAACACACTACCGTGCTGGTTTCAGAATCGGGTGTATTTCTGATCCTGATTTTTGTTTTCGAGAGAGAGGTTGGGAGGGAATTATCAACCGTGGATGATTTATGAATGGAAAACGAACGGTATTCTTCGCTTCGATAGGAAAATAATGGGATTGGCTAGACAAGGGTCTTTGGAGACTAAACCACAAGGAATAAAAGCAAGGTCCATGTGTAAAACAACAAGCGTCATGATAACAGCTTGTTGTCATTTTACTGATGCGTTTCACTTCGATGAAATGATAAGGTCCATTATCAGGCCCGTTTGGGACTGTGGCTGGAAATTTTGTTTCTAAACACGGCTTTAGTGAAAATTGTGTTTGCGTTATTTGGGGACGAATTACAATATTTATTGGAAAATATTCTGAGCTTTCTTCAGAAGTTTAGTACAGACAGCTGCGTGAGTCATTAGCCTCTAAGAATTCCACACCAGATTTATATTCACTTATGAAACTCTTCATCTCGAGCGCAGTGCATCTTAATTGGAATGAATATGACATGAGTCTTGCAAGAATCTTTGATAGAGAGAATGTAGGATGTTATTTAGGGACATGGGACTCGCATCATCTTAATTTGCATCCTAATGTAATGCAAACAGATCCCGAATATGGAAAATACAGTTTGGTGCTGCGTTGATCACACACTCGACTGTTTCTCGCCAGACTTGTTTCGAGTCGGTGCTCGGATGAGTTGTATCCGTCGGCGCCGCCGATTTCTTTACCAAGCTTGTAATATCGATCAACACCTGCTGGGTTATCGACTGGTGTGGAATCGTGCATTGAGACCAAGGTTGAACAACTGTCTCCATACAACTGTCTCTGTACTTCACCACAGGGTCGCTGATGTGCATGATATGGCGAGTTAACCCCGGTATATAATGTTCCTATCGGCGCGACGCGGCAGTTGCCGAACGAGCCGACTTGAAATCAAGTCTAGTTCCCGGTCAGTGTAGAAGTCATTACCCTTCAAAAAATTGAGTATATTCCCAGGAGTTCGAGGCTGGGGTTTCTTTGTTCAATTGCTCTGTCGTAGAGAAGTCTGAATTATATTGACTTTTGATATGGAGAATAGTAGTTTTGCTGATGGTTATGGCACGTACGCATAACATTTTTCACGGAGTATGATTTGCACAAGATCAGGAATGGCTAGCAGGTTATTTACTTTCCAAACAATTCTGCTTCACCAATGAATGGAAAATGAGATCCAATGCTTATCTAATTTTATCGGTATTCGTGTATTATGCAGGATAGAAACGAGGTACGTTCGCCTAAAAAAAATCTATTTTCTTAGGCCAAAAAAAGTCTCCGGTAAAAAGTTTTTTTTTCAATATAAGATGATGTCTCAAAACCGCCAAACTCACTGGTTTGACTGGAATCCTGCTGTTGCACAATTTTAACGTGTTTTTAGATGGGGTTACGATCGAGTATTAGCTTTATGTGGCCTCTCTGCGCTCCCATATATATTGCACTAAATTTAGTCGGGCACCATTTGCAGACGGTGTTGTAATTTTGTAATTGTGCGTCTGGAAGCCAGTCTGACGGAGCGATGGTTGTGTATCTGGAACCTGTAAACGCTTTTTAATTAGCTCAATATACTTCTCAAGCCTTATGGCCTTACTGAGGTCACCTCAAGCTGCACTCTGAAGGATATTTTGAGAGTTTTAAGGGGATCGAAGCGTCATCTGCAACATCAGCCGACATTTGAAGAGAAAACAAAGTTGGGTAAAAAAAAAACAATCTACACAAAGCTATAGCCATCATTCCACGAGGATACATCCCCGTAATGAGGCTTCTCAAAGCCGATGCCTCCAAAAATAGTCTACCAAAGTCCACCCGATAGCAAATACCACTTCTGTGCTTAAGGACGATCGCTTTTAATACCCGCAGGTTAAACTTTAACTTAAATTGAACTCTTGAAGATGTGGGATATAATAACATCATCAGATAGCAGCCAAGATAGATTGCATCACAGCATTATAGACGGTATCTATTGGGGTCGACAAAAAGATCTGCAATAATTTGTGGTACATATTGAATTAATTCCAGATCAGTAACAACAAACTTGTTATTTAGTGTAGAACAGTGCCTTTTGGGAGCTTGCCACGCGTGACTTAATAATGTAAATTGCAATTACATTACAATGACGATTGCCCATTCATTAAACACTTAAGAGGCACTAGCCAGCCTACTAAATTACAGTGCCTTTTGAATTTGCATATGTACATGTAGAACACAAAGTGACTATTCCTAGCCTATCTTTGAAACTGTCACAAGAGTATCCTGCTAGTGGTGTATCAAAACTATGCCTTTCAACGCTTGCGCACGTTTAAACCAAAGGTGCGTCCTCAAACTTTAACCGGTCGTTACGTCCAGATTTGTTCCCAAATAAGATCTGTCTTGACAGTGTGATCTTGCAAAAATGCTAGCAAATAAAAACAATTTCCCCCTCTCACATTCCAATTTGTATTTCTGTTTTACCTGTTTCAACCTCTCTCCAATGTGAAATTAAATAAAACATGCGTCATTAGATAGTATCTTCCAGTCAGTGAGCCAATTCGCCGTGATTGACTTTTGGATTCGCTCGAGCGGGAAACTGAACACCGGGTGCCCGGTGTTAAAGTGCAAGATGACCCCGCTGTCCGTTTTCAATTTTCTCGCCTTAATCTTGTCGTGGAGTGGGGGAGATTTGCTCGGGTAATGGACTGTAATGCGCGTAATGCTTTGCTCTTGAGTGGAATCGACATCATCAGGCGGTGGCTTAATACCAGCTGGGGTCAGCGAGATGGCTAATGGGGCGTCAAGAAGCATTGAGTCGGTACAAGTAAATTGGCGAGACACGCCAAGTCAGTCTTTACCAATAAAATTCTGCTGAAAAAAATGAACCAATTTCAATATCAATGCTTCACTGAATTTTGATTGCCGGCTTCGAATGATTGGATATGTCTGGCGGTGCTACATTATGAATTTTTAAAGATCTAAAGGTGAGAAGAGAACCAGAAGTTATTGGTCAGATACCCAAACTGGTTGAATGAGTTTCGTGACAGCTAGTGCTTACCAGGCAATTCCATCTAGAATCGTAAGGTATCATCATGGCTTTCGGATGTGACTCGCATTGCCAGCGCCACTCGTCATGCATCCTTGCTTGCTGCAGTGTAGGACCTTTAGAGTCAACTTGTCGGGTAAGAGCTCGCAGCGTTGTGTCCCGGAGCAAGCCACTGTGCCACGATTCCCCACAAAAAAGCAAATAAGTGCCATTTAGGGTAAAGTTTGTGACTGTATCAATAAACAAAACACTGCAAGTTGCACTGACTGTTGCTTGAATGCGGAACAAAACTGTTTAATGGTAGTTGTCATTTTCTCACGTTTAGGCCTATTCGCTCTTCCCAGCACTTTGGTTATTGATTCTTTACAACTAAAAAGAGACTGTTGGGTTTTGCACGAATATTTCCCATATAGTTTTTTTCCCCAATCACGTTTTTAGATAATGGTATTCGTACAATTGGTTGTGTGACCTTTTAAAATGATATTTAAAGTGAACAGATTAAAATGTCAACCATGATTTGTTTTTTTTTCTGTGGAAGCAGTTTTGCCAATCGGCCTGTCACTTATACAATCAAGTCGGCAGGGAGTCTACGACAAATGGCCGATGCAGTGTAATAACATTTGCCCTTGTGGCGGAGGTTATACCACGCTGTCAATTAAAGCAATTAACTTAATGTTGAATTAGCAACAGCAACTGTTATAAGATATTACATTATCTTGACATCTTGTTCATTCGACCGCAGGTTTCACGCTGTCATTCGGCAATCTGAAAAACAGTCGGGTGCCTGCGACACCAGGACAAAACAGTTGTTGACTCCGAAACACAAAGATGCTGCAACTTGGGTCGACCGGTGCGCCGGTACCGATGACCCCGGAGCCCCTCTACGGAGTGGCCACGGCCCCCTGGAACCACGCCGTGCCGGCCCCGTCAGACCCAGCTGTGGCCGGGACAGGATGCGCCGTCTGGGAACCAATCCAGAGCATCGTCTTTCAGGTGGCCTGTCTCTTGTTCTTCCTGGGCTACCTGGCTCCTTCCACGGGCTCCGCCGCCATGTTCGTCATGCATGCCTTTCTGAGCCTCGGTTTCATCACGCTGTCCCTGTGGGGACTCCTGTACGCATGCGCGGTGGACATCTTCGTCTGGAACCTAGTCTTCTGTATCCTGAACATCTGTCACGCCGGGTACTTGGGGTACCAAGTCAGACCCATACGGTTTACCAGGGAAGAGAGGGACCTGTATAACACCGTCTTCAAGCCTTTTCAGGTGCCCCGGATTATCTACAGGGACTTGTGTAATCTGGGGAAGATTAGCTCCTTGAAGATAGGGGAGCATTACGCTGAGGAGGGGAGGACACCTTGCAACCGTCTTTCGATCATCATCTTTGGCAAGTAAGTAGGAATTTGCTTAGCACATAACATATTCAGCAGGATATAGCAGAATATAAGCAGGATCAGGTTACCAGCGAAATTTTCATGTGATGTATATTCCTTGTCACTGGTTCTCAGCTGAGTGGCAATGAAGTTTGCTAAGCAAGCAACAGAGTCAGCTTAGCAGTTCCATGCAATTGGGCACAGGTAAAAACACACTCAACCATCGGCCATATTTGTCGTGTTCCTGAACGTAAGGACCAAAAACAAAAGAAAAGAACGAAAAGGCTCACCACAATACAGGCGTCAGCCTGTGTCACACAATATCCTGTACCTTATCGGCCCTTTCAATAACAGTATACCAAATTCAATCAAGACTAAAATAATCAACTTATTTCAGTTAACAGCAAAGTTATCTGAAACATATCTCAGTCACCGCATTAATCCAGACTCCCTGCTAATCCAGCCAAACAGTCTGGGCTTGTTTTAAGAAAAGATCTCGATTTTATCCAAATATAAGAATTTTTCCTGGAGATGATAGTTCTGGCGGGAGAAAATTCATTTTGCAAGGTATCACCAAAATAAGGCAAAAGATGTCCCCCCTGTGCAAGTTTTGGTTTAAACTATCATATTGAACATTTCAGGCAAGTTCGGTAAATACCAGATATTAACAACACACAGAAAAGCACCGAAGTGTTTGAAAAGTTCAAATCCATCTTACATTCGGCCACCTGCAGGGAAGTTAAGTTTGGTCATTCTTTCATTAAGGCCACTTTCCAAACGATTTCTTTTCTAGAAGATTTTATTTTACCACAAAACAGCAATAGATGATTTTTTTTTCAAGTGCATGGTAGCCTTCCTTTTCTTTTACTTTTTTTTTTTTTTACAAACTTAGACATAAGGCGTACCCTTTTATTGAAGCCCCGAATTCTTGAGAGAATTCCTATTGGTAATTTTTTTCAAAGGATGTCTTAAATTACATTTACAAGAGTCAGAGAAAAAAATCTGAGTTCCACACCACTTGCGAGTTCCACCTGCCCTTTGAACATATCTGCTTTCCACAGTTGAAAGACCGAAAAAAGGGGGAAAATATCAAATGACAGAAAATTACCTCGTAGCATTTACACCGAAGACAACTGACCAGACCTATATGTTTCAGAAGTCCCCTTTGGGCAAAAGCGTCTCCGTTTCAGCCATCCGACTCTGTCCGGAGCTTAATGTTAAAGGCTAGAAGCTGATCGCATTACAGGAAGGATAGCTTTTCAGAGACGTAAAACTAGAGCAAGGAAATCTGTAAAACAAAATGCAGTGGTACCAATGTAGGCCATGCACAAATGTCAATGAGAGTATGGACATCTGAAATGCCTGCAACGACCAACAGTTTCAGGGGAACTTTTGTCAAGACAACTTACAAATCAAAGCTTTTTGATTAACAATTTGTGATACCAAATAAAAAAAAAAATCGTAAACAAAGGGATATTTTAACGCTGGCCCCAAAGGGCCACCTTTATTGTCCTCTCTGCACCTATACAGGGCAAGTAAAAAAAACACGAAACCCAAATGGCAGGACCAATTTTGGTCATTATTTTATTAGTAATTTGGAATTTTAAGACTGTCGTTATCGTTACAGAGGCGTGATTCAACATATCATTTTAACTTATGGTATATTAGGACTGCAAAAAAAATTGAAGGGAAAATACCAAAATCTCGTAACAACGAAGTAGACGGTCATCAAAACGAACATCGTGTTAGAAAAAAATGACACAAGGTTATCTTCGATAGCGCGACACACATTCCTCACCTTTACTTATTCAGCTTGCACGGCCCTAACTAAACGACCTGGTTCCATTTGTTTTAAAAACAGATTTGTTTATTTGCAGCGAGTGTCTGGTTTCTGCCTCCGACTTATCCCCGCTCCAGATGCATCAGCCAGACAGGCGACAAAGCTGAAAATAGAATTTCAGAAATTCGATCGTGCTAAAATTGTCTTGCCAACAATATCCGACCTCAGCTCAGCACGATAATCCCAAGGTTTCATATCACACACGTTCTGAATCCCGATCAATGCTCGCGATTGCAAAAGAACTAGAGCATAATACAAGGAAAAGTGAACGGTGTAAAGGACATGTTCAGAACTGGGACAATCGGAGGAAACAAAAAATCCCTCTCGTTATTCAAGAAATCACGACCCAAAGCCACGATCAATTTCCTGAGTATTTTTTTTTTTGGTCCGGAACTCATCTTCTGGTTCGGTTTTTTATTTCCATCTCCCAATTTCCTGCCCCAGCCTCAAGTTACGGTGGGTCCGGTAGGACAAAATACAGGATAGGGTTAACACCCTTGAGCCGCCCTATAGTTGGCAATCGGCTGAGGTAATCTCGTGTGGTTTATGGGCGGTAGATAACACCTTATGGCGGGGAGGACATGCTCAACACTGTAGGTTTGTTTTGTCAGGCTTGGACGATAAAACTGTTTTTCTTTCCCTTCTTGTCAGTACAGTGCGGACATTGGGCAACGCAATGATATCAGTAAATGTAAGAGCCATTTCAATACCCCGTGACATTAATTTTACTTGGGCTCATATTTTCAACTCTTCTTAAATGTATGAAAACTATTTGACATCTGTTTTGGTTAATTTTATTGAAAAGTGCACTATTTTAACCATTTCAAAATGTCCATGCTTTTCTTGACAAATGAGGACGTTGTTGCTGTGATGTCATTTCTGGAAGAAACTGTTCAGCTTAGGAGTTTTCTGTTAAAATTGTGAACCCAAGAGTTGCTTATTCAACAAAAAAAATGTGGGAAAACTTTGTTCATAGTTGGCGTAATGTCATGTACTGAAACAACAACAAATCACCAAAGAAAAGAAAAATTACGGTAGCAAAAAATCAAAAATTGTGGCAAGTTTTGATGATGAAATAGCTGTAACATTGAGTTTTCTGCCTGTTTTCTGCCTGAAATGACTTCACACTTTTGCTCATGAATATGCAAATTTACATTAGCATAAAAACCAAAAAGGCAGCACTGAAATGCCCTTAAAAATGGCCAACTGAAAATTGAAAATAAGGTTAAATGGGAAACAAATGTGCATTTCTGAGGATTGCATTAAAAAAGACATTACACTGGCCCTTTAATGAACAAATACATCGGGTCCGAGTCTTTAGCGATATGTCACGACTTTTTGTGTTAACTATATATTTCCCAAGACAGAATGCATCCTCACATACCAATCCAAATGATTTATGCTTTGTTAAGTAAAAGCAGTGTCATCAAAATGCAGATTCTCTGATGGGAACCTTTACTCAACTGATGTAACACACATAAACGCAATACAGAGGCTTTGGCGATATATCACGACTTTTGGGGTTAATTATATTTTTTCACGAAACAGAAAAGCATTCGCGTGACTCTTCATAACCTATGATATTGTATTTAATCGGACATACAGAGGTGTGCCAAAAAAGTGCAACAATCCGAAAACAAATAATTAAAACTGTTTAATGTTTTGTTTTTTTCTTCAATTAAATTATACATTACATTAAAGCCTGACTATTTCTCAATCCACTCCTTTTTACCCCATTCCATTTGGGTCCCTAGATCCAGAAACACAATCAGTGAAAGGGTGTACATTTGACTAGGGCCACTCTCACCAGTGACGTCACCAACTTCAATTCCTATTCAATGCCTATTCAATGCTTAACCCAGATGCAGCATCTCCAGGTGAGAGTGGCCCAGGTACAATTTAGACCCTTTCACCAATTGATGTATTTCTGGATCTAGGCAAATGGAATGGGGTAAAAAGGAGGGGATTGAGAAATAGTCAGGCTTTAATGTAATATATAATTTCACTGGAGAAAAAAATCAAACAGTATTTCTGAATGTTGCACTTTGTTGGCACGGCACTCTGAAGACCAATTCAAATGATTCATACTACAAACGTATAAAGCAGTGTCATCAAAACTGCATTTTCTCCAACGGAGAACTGTTTCTGCCCCTCTGATACCAAGAAATACAATACAAAGCAGCTGGAAGTAATCTGTCAGCAATAAAATTCACGTTGGACTTTTATCTTCAGTAAATTCGAGTAGACTGCGCTTCAATCTTCCTCCACTAAAATTCCTGCAGCCTTCAATTTCCAGACTTGTCATCAACTTTCATTTCTAAAAAAAAAAAGGATGATACTTTCTCCTGACTACCTAAAGTCCCCGCCTGCATGTGCACATGCAGAGAACTGGCACCTCCTTTTAAGGCAAATCATGTACTGGCCCCGAGGCACTTGGGCTGTGCACGCGCTGTGTAATTCTGTGCATTTTGCACGATGGTATACGCCGGCGAGCAGACGAAAACACATTTTATTTGGAAAAGGAAATTGGATCTGTGAAATTGGCGGGAATGGCAGGTTGCGCGTACTTTCGATTAACTCCCAGATCAGAAATCATCCTTGAGGAAGTTGAGGGATTTCCAGACTTGTTTCAAGACTACGGTTTGGGGACTTTGATGGCAAAGCTCCCCTTCAATGTCAAACAACACATTTTGATACAAATAATGAGACACTTTGTCAACAAAACATGATTTACAAGTTAACAATAGGCCTACTTATTTTATACTTCTTCAGTCTCATTCAAAGATGGCCTTTATTTGTTGCTTTTCATCAGAACCTTTTTCAGCCTCAAAGTATTTCACAAAACATCCTCCAAGTATTTTGCAAAAATAACCAAACCGCATTAAGTGAGAGAGCACGCACCACCATAAGAGTGCACTAAACACATAATTTACTGGAATTCAGAACAGAAATCATGTCTAGATAACATCAGACAAAGCCATAATTTCATTACGCGTTTATCTGACTTTTAAAGAGCTGACGACTGTTTCGTGTTCTTATATTCGCTTCTCAGAGTTAAAGTATTTTCCGACGGGGACTTTCTTCACAACATCCAGGAGAAACAGTTCCTGGACTCGCCAGAATGGGACTCGTTTAGTCAAGCTGAGACGAGAGAAAACTTTCAGGTAAGACAAAAACAGTTTTTAATATTGTAATTTTGATTAGCATTTTAGTTATCACATTATTCCAAAGACTGTTATATGTATGCCTTACCTTGTATGAAGAATTAATCAAATATTTGACTGGCATTTTAGTTATCACATTATGCCAACGACTGTTATCTGTATGCTTTACATGAAGAATTAGAAAGATCTTAACATCTGTTAATGGTTATATTAAACATATTGAATTCTAATTGCTAATTATTTTGATGGGTTTATTTTAAACATAATTTGTAATTATGACAAATTATGACAGACCCAGCTTATTCCTGAGTGAAAATCTACATTCCTGATATGTTTCATCTGCGTTATCACCTCATTCTAACGGAAAATCGCTCCCCCATAACTAGTAAAAATAGGTCCTGATCGAATTCTGTCTCGCACTATTAATTTCTAGGGCATCGTTAACTCGGATGGGCTACCGTAAACATTTTAAAGTGCGGTACTTTACATTCATCGAATGTTGCCCATTAGAGCGTCTCGCTCGTCGTGCGTATCGGCTATCAAGGCTGGATCACAATATCATCCGCGGAAGGAAAACTCTTAATAAACCCAGAAAAAAAAGTTACAGTTAATTTCAATAACAATATCTTGCACTCGCATCAACATGTGACATGCGAGTATTCTGGACTAAAGGCACTAAACAGTTAAGTGACAGTTTTGACTGATATGAGAGGGACAGAGCTGGTGAGCAAAATGAGAACACATTTTAGAGTTAAAAAAAAATTCAGCCCAACAAGATTTCATGAACTTTTTCTAAGAAATCTTCCTTCTTTATAACATAGTTTTAGACAAGACTATTCCCTGGCGATATCCTTTTTATGGACCGATAAGTGGGGCGCTATAAATATTTCCCACCCAACCTACACGTTAAAAATTTTAATTGGTGTTAGGGTAGCGCCAGTAGTACCACTACCGTCACGCTCAATAGCGATATTGAACGAGTAGTTCAATGCAGACTTCTTATATAGTGTTAATTCATACGCCATAATATAAAACAATCTAATATCTAACATTTCGTCTGGTAAAGAAGTTGGCTGCATGCACGGCATGCTGGATATCGGCCGTGGTCTAACCAACAGATGATTTACATTCCCAGTTCGCATACTTTGGTACTGACTGTAAAAGCTAATTTGGCCATTCCAAGAAAAATACCAAGAAAAGTTCAATTCCCTTTGGTGATCGCTGACTGAACTTTGCGGCAAGAAGACGACGCAGAGCACGTGCATTATCTCAACCGGTTCAACATTCTTAGGCCAATTGTCTTAATGCCAGATACATGCAGTCCGACCACCAGAATTTTGTTTCATCTACAGTTACCTTTTCTTTTGCTTAAACCACATAGCAAAGAAGGTACATATCAAGAACTGCACATGTACGCGCCGGTGTTCAAACTCAGCACTGCGTCAATCTCTGCACGTAGGCCGCACAATTACCGACGGAAGGGCTGGCATTAGATGATTATAAGGAGTATCTTGAGTTTCTCTCTCTGTTTCTGTTACGAGATCGGGTAACTGCAGAGGTGACTTGATCCCTGAAACAAATTTCCTCACAGCCGTCTCAAGAGATGATCAGGCTTTATTTTAATTATCTTTCAGATCTGGTTTCGGGGTTGTGTCTTGTCCGTTGGTATCATATTTTTAATCAAGGAGATGGGTTTCATGAGGTCAGAAAGTTAATTGGATTATTTTGTGTCCTAACTGTCAGGAATTGACACGGATCACAAATTGAGCTTGGGGCTTATTAATATTTTCTACGTGCTAGAGAACTTTATTAAGCTCCATAAGGAAATAAACACCAACGGTAATTGTCATCAATGAATACATAAATACTTTTCATGCAGAATCTAATCGCAACATTCACATGATTCTGTCTCTTTCAAAATAATAAATATATATGTGACGAACGTTTATAGTCAGATGAGAAATATTTACGAACAAAACATAATTTGTTTTGGTGTATATAATTATACAGGCATTTATAATTAATTTCGAGTGATGTAACACGTGTGTGTATAATAATGTAAACAGAGATCGAGACAAGAGACTAAATTTCGAGTTTATCTGCGTGACATGCACCGGGCTGTGCGACCCATCAGAAATAAACTTACGAATCCAAGGTTAACGTTTGACAAGTGAAAACCTAAAATAATGTCTTGTACATTTGATACTAACTTGGCCTTCTTTGCAACACACAAAACTGCCGCTCTAAGTGTCTACAAAGTCGTCAGCATGGGCAATTTGCTTTAAAATTACTGTTTTCTTTGGTAACTCAATATCGATACCAACACAGCCATAGTTTACGCTGGTTCCATGCGGGTATGGTATACATATGACATAAGACATAATAATCTTCATGTTCAACAGTGATTGTATTTCTTTAAATTATTTATCCGTACTAAAAAGGGGTTCAGTTTACTTTTCAAATCATTTTCAATCTCAGGTGACGCTGACGGCCACCACCTACTGCCGCTACATGAGTTGGCAGCGGGACAACCTCCGAGACTTTCTGGGGACCCATCCCTACCTGAAGCAGGTCTTCGCCAACCTGATCGGCACGGATATTACCAGGAAGCTGTACCTCCTGACCGAGCGGAACCTGAACCACCGGGGCTCCAGGGCCGATCTACGGCTGCCCAGCGTGGCTCGGGAGGCCTCCCCGAACCACGATCTCCGGGGCCACCTGGCGGCGGGAGGGATGGGGGCCTGCGGGGTCGGGATCCCGGTACTGGGTACCAGTCAGAACCAGGATAGCTTCCTGCAGTCGCCTAACTACGGCCAACAGGACTATACCAAGCGCCCACGGGTAGACGCCAAGGACTCGACTTACGACAATAGTAAGAGATACAGACTACAATTTACACTGCTTAAAACTGCAGTGTCAAAATAAACACCAAGAACCAATCATGTTAACACCATAAAGTTAAAGAGATATAAACTAAAATCGTCACTGTTTATAACTACAGTGTTAACTTGGCTAAAACCATATTGTACCTGTTGTGACTCTTTCGACATAGGCTTATATGCGGCTCAATATGGATACCAAACTTGTGATAATGGTATATGTATATGAACCCCCTTACCATTACAAAAACGCCATATTGGTACTTGGGAAAATGTTACATATTAAAATACATTTTAGAATGCAGAAGGTTTACAAGAGCATCTTTCCATTCACAAATTAAAAGCCATACACTGCCATACGGATGGGAACTTTTAATTAATAAATTCTCCTTACAATGCCTTTGTGTCAGTATTCAAACCCAGAATGCAATGATAAATGTTTATGTTAAAGAGCGCACTTCAGTGTTGCATTTTTTTACTCATTGACGCAGCATTTCAGAGGCCCGTCAAAGGTTAATACGTGTTGTTTCTTACATTAAAGGGATTATAAAGATGCTAACGGAAGAATGCTATGTTCTCCACTCATGATTCATTAAATGTTTTGTCAATGTTTTTGCAGTTTATCCTCCACGATAATGGGGGACGTGACCATTCGAATGGACTGAGACGATTGTTTCATGGAAATTGATGTACCTATCAGCAAGCCAAGGGATCTTGTAAGCCTTGGTAGGATTGCCGAAGGCATGACATCATCTGGCTTGACAAGCGGAATGGAGTGGCGTCAAATTGGAGTTATCAACCTGTGTCTAACTGTCTATAACTCCACGTTTATCTGAGATGGAATGGGTAAAGTCCTTTTTGGTGAGGTCGAAATAAGTAACTGAGTGATGCTATATGAACATTGTCAATTACTCTCCGAGTCAAAGCAATAACAAAGTGAATGCATATGGTTGTATACCATGCATCTACGGGGAGGAAGCATTCATTAATGTATGTAAAGAGTGATGAAGTAACATTCTGACGTTTGCTGTTTATCTGCGGTGATCGTGGTCAACTAAAAAGTTGAAAGTCCAGTTGTACTTGAACAGAATATTGTGCTCTCAATTGCAGCAAAACGGCATTGAGGTAATGAAGTTACACATAGTTGGTTAACAAACGTTTGTTCCATTACGATTCGGCTGGTATCGGCGGGCGCCATGCTGTACTAGTTCGCACAGCGTTAACTTGTCAATGGTTCAATATTTGTTTCGGATATTCGCACAACGTTAACTTGTCGATGGGTAAAATTTATTTCGGATATTTCTTAAAGTCAAATATTTATTTAAGTTGTGGATGCATCATAGTTAATTCATTCTTCTTTGTACTTTATTTATGTCATGTTCATGTCGTTATGTTAAAACTGTCATGAAATTCTCCATGCGTTCAACTCAGTGGTGTAATTATTACAAAAATAAAGTGTGTACCAGCCCAGTTTAGTATATAATTCATATTATCGTTTGCACGGAATTCTAATTCAAGAGTTGATTCTAGAATCACAAGTATTTTATTTTGGACAGTTTGTTCTGAACAAAAGAATATTATTAATTGCTTTATTTAGTAAAACAATATTATTAATTGCTTGGGAATGGTGCCAAGACTTTCAAGTCAATCAGGTTGCATCAGGTACCATTTGGATTGCACTATATGATAAAATGCACTGCCTCTATTTATTCCATTGCCTTTATAAAAATAAAAAGTGAAATATCTTTGGTTTGTTCCTGTTTTGAATAATAAATATTTGATGTAAATTTAATTGCTTTCCAACAAAGAGTCCGATTTTGAGATTTTCGAGATTCACACTCCATGTCGATACAAGACTATCTTTAACAGAAACTGTACTTGTCCCTTATGCAAAAGGAATATTCTTTGTTGCGGAACAGAAGTTGTTCAACATATTTTGCAGAGCAAAATGTTTACCTTACAAATCAGGTTATATAGCGGCTATAAAACGATCGACCTATCAAAACTTCTGCTTCGAAGCATTGTAAAATTAAGGCTCATCGATGTTTAATGACACTGCTTTGCACTCGAGCAATAAAACAAATCATATTTTGAAGACCCTTCAAACAGAACAGCACAGTCATACAAGGGTGAAGCATATCTGTTATTTCTTTTACTGGCTACATGGGATGACTATTTCGAATCGCGCCCGAGACGACACCTGATTCAATCAGCGCGACACACGGCAAACCAGCGAGGTCATCCGTTCGATCTAAGAGCCTTTCTCGAGCTGGAATTCGAGGAGAAATGTGATTGATTGATCCCCAGTAACACCTGGCCGTCTCGAAATCAAGGTACGGAAGGGAGAGAGACAGAGACAGCCGCAGCCTGTGCTTCCGGAATAATACTTCAACGCGCCTTGAAGGCGCATAGGATTGTTTGATTTTCATAGATTTTGTTCGTTTCCAATAATAACACCACTCAAAATCCACAGCAGAATGTTCAAAACTTAACCTGTTGAAGTTTCAGCTCAGTTGATATTACACTTTTCAAGAAAATATTCAAAAAACAACCTTTTGATCACGAAACACGATTTCAACTGATCGTTGGAATCGCCTACATTTTCTTGATTTCTTCTAAATGACAGCAAGCCAGACGGAATAATTTCACGGGGTGTTTAGTACCAGTACGATCTTTAATCCAAATAAGCTTTTTCAATTCGGTAGGATACTTTTTGGATAAACGCAACTGATCATATGCTTATAAAGAGGATACTGTTTTTGATACATAGACAAATCGCATTTCTAGGTCAGAAAAAAACTAATTTATGGATAAAGAATGCACCTGTTCTGTAGACTTTTAACGGAATTTGACTGGTAGTTGTACACCAATGAAAGGTTTTAGTCAATTGAGATATAAGATCCTTTGCCAACAAAAAACTGAAAGGCAAGAGATCGTGTACATGTATTCAAATTCTTGTCAGAAAATAAGCCTATACGGAAGCTAACTGACATTGATGAATAGGTCCCATAGGGAAGAGGAAAATGATATACGACAAAAACAAATATACTGAGAAGCAATATTGGGTATTACCAAGACGCGATGACACATGACGTATTGTCAGTGTACGGCTTTCTGTATGTTCGAAAGGCATGGCAAGCATATAGAAAGATTTTTCTGTTTAGAGCATAACAAAATATTGTTAGGGGGACGCTTCTTTGTTTAATGTGATTTTGAATAGTCACTGTCTTTCGTCTGGAGGTAGATTCAATCAAACTGGTAAAGGTCGAGACTTACTTATGTTGCATGTTGTAGGAAGTTTAAAATATGAAGTAAAATATGAAGTGTGGAAACGAAGCGAAATTAAATTGTACTTAGCTATACGCAACCAGATAAGACAATTAAGATAGTGATAATGGAAAAGTGATATCACGCAAACATTAAGTAATAATTAACATGGCATCGGGCTATAATTTATAAATTTACTATATATTTTTTTTATTAGCAATAAGTGTTATTTCGAAAGAGTAAACAACATCTATATGTACGTGCAGTTAATGTCTTGTGGCACATGAAAGTGCGTTTATTGTGTTCATAGCCGCGGGAAACCTGTTAATAATTTGCCACACGAGCCTACTCTAAAAAGCGGAGAGTTTTTCAAGGGATTACAAATGTGATTTGTGTTTGTTCTGTCATGCATAATTGTGACAGATTGGTTTATATGATTAGCCGTGAAAGTAATCGGTCCAACATGATTAGAGCTCCTTTCCCAATGCCCATGGTACATAATTTAAGAAAATTTAAACCGTACAATAATTTTATGCGGCGAACGGGGAGACTTCACCCAACAAGGCCAAACAGGAAACAGTCGTCGGTGACATGTATTTCACCTTGTACATGGCTGATCCACATTCTTATCCCTTAACCTATAAATTTCAGGTTTTCTTAAATGTGGGACGAACTTCACGCCCTAATTCCTTCACAGTCTAGGTTTCAGTCACTGTTTACATCTTAAACTCCATCTTTGTCGGCTCCCACTACAAATCTGACGGCCTCTATCGTTTCTTTTCTGACCGAAAGTAGGATAAAAAAAAATTGCCAAGAATTGATGTCTTTGAGGAGACGTACTACTGCCGCTCCAGGCGTTGAGACAACACATTGCAACATGTCGGTTGGCTTGAAAGTGTTTGTAACATCTGCCACGTATATCACAAGATTGCCGTACGAGATTGCTTTTTTTTTGTATCTTCATTGCAATAATGCCGTCCCGTAGCACCAAAATGTCAACAGACACGAAAGCAGATTGCAATATCAGGCTTCTATTGGCATGACATGTCAACACTCACAATTTGTGCCACGGTTGTTTTGACAGTTTTGATTTGTTGAAAATGGAAGAGATTTTTAAATTTCAAACTATGTCCGTGAAGTAAATGCCAAATGTCCAAACAAGGGTTCGGAATGGACTCTTTTATCGGCCTTGAGTGTTCTTCGTCGACGTGTTGACAAATTAAGGAAAAATAATACAATTATGCTCCGACCCTTTTAACATCTTCGTTCGGAAACGCACAGCTGTCAAACATTTTGTGAGCTCTCAAATTGAAATTGCCGAAGCATTTTGTGCGATTTGTTCAGGTGCGTAAATATGAATCGCAATTATGGAATGCCATCACAATGGTACTTGAAGGGTTACTGTCCCTTGCATTAAAGCCAGATGCTTCGCACTGTCATCCCTTCATGGAGGGACAAGTTAACTCAAGATTACTTTTATTCAGCAATAAGGATTTCCGGGTGAAGATGTCCACATCGATTCTCAATCAAACTCGGCAGCCACATGTCGTGTACCTGAACCACAACTTTACGCAAGCCTCTTCCCATCCATTACGCATCTATATGTCCCAGTGCTGAAACGATCCCTCTCTGGCTAAAGATAATGCCATGCACCCATGAGAAAGTTAAAAGTATAAGTAGGAGAAGTTTAAAGTATTATCAAGGGCATGGTATGAGTCATCGGGAATTCATTGAAACGAAACCACAAAGTGTAAAATTCTGTCTACGTCCACAAAATCATGGAGGTTGACGACTTATGGATTGACGTCGTGAGGTTTTGCTCCCACGGCAAAAACGGAGGTTTAAAAAACACTTGTGGTGTCTTTAGGGAACAACTTGACAGATACGATTCAATATAAATACAACCGCATCCGGAATCCTCCGCGCCTTCATCCCTGGAATGCGCATCCGGAAGCAATTCTCTAAGTAAAAGGAATTTATTGTCAACGCAGGAAGCAAGATTTTGACCTCAGCTGCTCTTTATAAATTGCAGTTTCCAACAACATCAAAAACAGAACCGCAGAACATGTTTTGACAAAGTAGGGCAAACAGCAGGGAGGGGGGAAAAGGATTTTAAAAATATGCTCTTGGACGCGACAAACAACATTACAAGTTTCCCTCGTGCGTATTCTACATCCCCTTGGTAGTATCGGTGTGATGTAAGAGATGCTCGGAGGGGGAAACTCAATTTACAGGATGGTTTAAACGAATCAGGGAGATGCGGAACCTTTTTACCGTGCTCGCTTGCAGCTGGTGACGGGCCCCTGTGCCGCCACGGCCGGTAGGTATCCGGCTGACACCCGGCTGGGGAATGCTCGCCAAGGAAGGATGTTCACATTCCTGATGGGGACGGATGATGGGAAACAGGGCATATTATGAGGACAGAGATTTATAAAAGGAAAGAGTGTGCAGGAAGGATGGATGGGGAAAGTGACTTTATATGGCACAGGGATGAAGTGAAGAGATGTAGATCCGGGGAGAGAGTCCAGGGGATTAAAGTCGGAAAATATAGGTTTTACTGAAGGGCAAGAAAAAATATCACTTCGAACAAACATAATGCAGTACTGCTCGGATCTCGAAGGAGCTGTCTCCGATTTTGTCGAGTACACTGAATCACTGAGTGAGCATTCGTCTTGGCTTGACTTTTATATTGTTCACAAATACACGAAAGACATCAAAATTTATGAGTAATTCTATTCATGCAAGGAGCTTTAGAAGGAAGCAATTTGATCATAGAAGACATAAGTGTATTTCGGCAGCTCTGGACGAGAAAACATCTGAAAACATGCACGGAATCCAAGTCACTAAGCTATAAGGTTGAATTTAATACTCTACATCAATATTCAGGGGAAATATCGATGTACGAAGTCCAGAAGGGACACGTAATACAAACCCGGCTTAAACATTCATGTTTGACCAACGCGTAACCAGAGCTCCAAGTTAAATTTGCACAGTTATATTGGTGCGCGAGTGAATTCAATTTACATCTTCAATAAACGCGACCATGACGGCCGCGTTGGAATACCATAATCCGCGACGAGTTTCAATAAATCAACAAAACATAAATAATCACGGTGAAGAATGTAGACGCGGGTGAAATAAAATTTTGCCTGGAGATAATACCTAGATGAAAAAAATATGGTGCTAATAATTAACGCGGGAATTCTATGGGTATTGACGGAGATGGTGCTTATGTCTAGCCGGGCTAGCGGCAGCTGGGAAAACACCTCGTGGGCCAAGTGGCGCTTTCAGGCCGGGGTATGTACGCAGCGGCTGGCGCTTCCGCGGAGGCACTTTACGGAGGATTGACGTTTTCAGCCTGGTGCACAGATAGATCTATGTTGTGAAATCATTTAAGTACAATGAATTAATCAAGTTGGACTGTTCATCATATCGACAAAAGGGGACAGGGATCTCGTTCTCGAACAGATCTGAGACAAAATGACGTCATGCTTTGTTTACAACGTGCGCTTTCCTATGGGAGAC